CGGTCTCTATTTATTTTCCTGTTCTCTACTGCTCTTTGTGAATCTCAAAATTCCATGTCTGTCCACTCATTAATGTTGACTTTCCACCTCTTTTCTGTCTGCCTCTTTTTCTGCACCGTCGCACTGTGCCTTGCAAGATTGTTTTTGAGAGTCCATATGATCTTGAGACATGACCTTGCCACTTCAGTTGACGCTTTTTTTTTTTTACAGTAGTCAATAAATCTTCATAGGATCCGATGGCTCTTTCGATTCTCTTGTGGACTTCTTCGTTGGTTACATGGTCAATGTATGAGATGCCAAAAATCTTTCGGTTGCATCTCTTTTCGAAGGCTTGAATCCTTCTTTGTTGATCTGATGTGAACGTCCATTTTTCATAAGCATACATAAAAAGATGGATACGACAATTCAGTGCTTAGTCTTTTTTTGGAGATAAAGGCAATATTGATATCTTTCCATATTGATCTCAACCTTGTTGTTGCTGCTGTTGTCCAGGCAATACTGCAAAATAGTTCTGTTTTAAAGCCCTCATCTGTGACAATTGATCCCAAGTACTTGAAACTTATTACTCTTTCTAGTTTTTGTCCACTGACCTTTATTTCTGCGCTGATGCCGTTGGTGTTGTTTGACATCAATTTAGTTGTTTTGACGCCAATCTCCATACCGTATGTTGTCGAGGTTGTTTCGAGGCGTTAAACCAAGTCAGCCAGCTCTTTTTCATCCCCTACTAAACCATCAATATCGTCTGCGAAGCGACGGTTGGTGATTATTATTCCTCCGATGCTAACGGTGCCCTTGTGGTCAGGTAAGGCATCCTCCATCATTCTTTCCAAGAATATGTTGAAGAGTGTAGGTGACAGTATACATCCCTGTCTGACTTAAAATGTTGTTCGAAACCAATATCTTCTGATGTCATTGATGAGAACAGCAGTAGTGGCTTTGTCATAGAGGTGTTCAACAGCCTGCACCAGGTGTGAGCTGATGTTGTACTTCCTCATAGTTACCCATAAGGCCGCATGCCATACCCTATCAAAAAACATTTTGAAATCTATCAAGACATGGTATAGCTTCTGCTGTTGCTGATCGTATTTCTCGTAAAGGAGTATGAGATTGAAGAATTGTTCTGTGCTGCTCATACTTGCTCAGAAGCCTGCCTGTTCTTCAGCAATAATTTTCTCTGCTTGAGGCTTTAGTCTGTTGATAATTATTTCTGAATGATTCTGCTCGGGTGACTGATTAGAATGATGGTTTTCAGCATGACTCTGTTCGAGTGACTGATCAGACTGATAGTTCTGTAGTTTTGGCATAGCTGTAGGTTTCCTTTCTCGGGGATCACGATGAACAAGGATTGAGTTCATGTAGAAGGCCATTCTCCTGGCTTTCCATATCTTGTTGCAGATTGTTGTCAGGACCATGACTATCTCTTCTCCTTCTGCCTGAATGAACTCTGTTGATAAGTTGACAACACCAGCTAACCTTCCTTTCTTTAGTGACCTAGCTGAGATTGCTACGTATTAACAAAGAATGGGGATGCCATCAGTTTCTCTTGCTAGAAGGCATTTTAGTACTGCTGGATCTCATTGGGTCTTATGATTGTACAATTATGAGCAGTATTCATCACTTGAGGATCTATTGATCTTCTCTGAGGCACTTTCCTGAATCGTCATGGATATTGGTAATTTTCCCTTGTTATGGGTTGTGAGATCTTTCACCAGCTGAGATGCTGAGATGCCATTTTGCCATTTTGCTGTCATTTCTACTCAGACTGTCGTCGATTTAGCAGCATTGCGTTTCTATCCAGATTCATTTGCCTTTTCCATGTTCATGTTGTTTATCGATCTGTATTGTCTAGCCCCTACATGATATCATTTTCCCTTTTTCAGTTCTCTTCTTTTGTAACATAGTTCAAGGACAGCTCTTGTGACCCAAGGTTTCTTTCTTCGACTATATTTGCCAATGATTTCGCTAGCTGTGATAGTCACAGCTGTGTGTAATGTGGTTGTTAAGGACATGAGATCAGTGTCTTTGTTGTTGCTGTGTGTAATGTGGTTGTTAAGGACATGAGATCAGTGTCTTTGTTGTTCTGGGTTATCAAATGTGTAAATTTACCACCTGCTATGGCTGAGAAGGCTTATGTGACTTTTGGATCTTTCAATTTTTCAAAGTTTAATCTGATTCTTGGTTGATTAGGCTTTTTGATCATTTTCAGGTGGATGTGAAACGTTATCATTAATATTTCATGGTCACTTCTAATATCTGCTCCTGGAAAACTTTGTGTTCTAGCGATATTCAGTCCTGTGCAGAACCATTTTGTCACCAAGATGTAATCAGTCTGGTTATGATGTTGTCCATCTGGACTGTGCCATGTCCATCTTCTAGATGATTTGTGAGGACCGAACGTGTTGGCTAGCACAAGATTGTTGTAGACAGCAAACTCCAAGAACCTGAGTTCTCATTCATTTGCTTCTGCAGTGCAGAAGGGTCAATATGTGTTTTGCCAGTGTGTCTGTGAATCATCTCTCTTCTTTGCATTCTAGTCTTTTTGTACACAGAATGTCCTTCTTGGGTGAGTTATTAATGACATATTTCAGTTGGTTGTTAAAATTCTCCAGTTCTTTGTCATCATAGTTAGATGTTGGTGCATAGGCCTGTGTATTTGTGATGTTGAAGGGATTCTCCCTCAGGCGGATAGTAATGAGCCTGCTTGATACTGGGCAGCAGCCCATAATGCTGTTCACAATGCCCTTGTGGAAAAGAAATCGAACGCCAAGATTGTGTTTGTCCTCTCTGCCGCTGAAGTAGAGCTGATGTCTTTCGTCTGTTGTTATTTTGCCAAAGATTTTCCAGCGCACTTCGCAAAGATCAACAATGTTCCAGTTGTACTTTTCCAACTCATTTGTAAGTTCTTTCAATTTTCCCTCAGTCCTCAGTGTTGTAATGTTTCGCGTACCAAAGGTGATGTTGTCTCTCCCACGGATCTTTTTAGGTGTGGACACCAGTAGCATGCTAGATACCTCCGTCCTGGTTTGCAGTGGAAGACGCAGTCATTGTGGAACGGGCTGCGACCAATCCGGTATGGAAGAATTATTAGTTGTATTCATGTGGTGAGTAAAGGTCAACATACAGCTAAATCAAGATTTGGGCGTTTTTTTTTTTACACATTTCAAACGTTGTCACATTTGTCGCCAATACGCAGAAATAACACTCAACACTTTATATTAATATTAAAATATAAGTGCTTTCCTCATAAAATTTGGAATTTTCCTACTTTAAGTTTTATCATAAAATTGTGATGACCAGTGACTGAGGTTAGGTTTCCTCTTACAGTTTTGAAAACCACTAGATATGTATTATTTCACACAATTTTGAAGGCCATTGGAAACATAGTTCATACAAATTTGAACGCTGGTGGTTTATGAGGCATATGTTTATTACTTACAGTTTTGAGGATTAGTCCAGAAAGGGTTTTCTTTCCAAATTTGAAGGATGGGAAGTGGACAGCATGCACTTTAAGAAACAAATAACTGATGGGCACACATTAGTGTTTAAATCCGGTTGAAAGTTTACCAAAACTGGTCAACCTGTTTAAATTGGATTAACTGTCATGCAATATTTAAAAATAAATTACAAAATCTAAATGTTTACCAGTTTGGAACCACAATGGCCATTTTCCACATACGGAAGAAGAAAGGGATGATCATGAGGGGCATTTCTTTGTACGTCAGCCTTTACATGGCGCTACTAAATGTCAGCACTTTCTCCATTTATCTTTACATGGAGCTACTCAGGGTCAATACTTTCAGCAACATTATTGAAGTGGGGCTGCTCAAGAGCCGGTACTTTCTATACCAATCTTTACATTGAACGTCTTAGGGGCAAAACTTTCAAAACCAATTTTTACCTGGAGCAACTCAAGTCACAACGCAACTCTGAAAATCCATTGCTTTTTTTGTGTGTTTTTGTGTTTGTTTTTATGCAGTAGTAAGCAGTTATCCTTGTTCTACCATGCATGTATTGAAGGGTATTATAGTAGTAGATATAGTAGGTAAATATACTTAGATCAGAATAAATCCATATTTAATCAGATAACCAGTTTTATTTTATTTATTGAGGGATTACTGGTCTTCTTTTCTTTATTACATACGTCAACTGTAATAAATCTTACTACACATGAATATTACGTAAACCTGCTCACAAAAGAAAATAAAAACAACGATAACAAAAGGAAAGATTCAGCGTACATATTATATTATTTGCGATGCATTCTGTTGACAGATGATATATTCGCTAGCGTTGACAACTCGTTTTATAGTATATGAAAGAACGTTTCGCTTTTACGGTTGTTTTAGAATCAGTAAATAAGATATTTTGTCCCTAAGTCATCACAAGGAACTTTCCCCAATCAGTCCGAGTTAACTACCTGGATAATTAGTACATGCACTAATGTGCCACGAATGAGCAAATTAGAGCCGTGGTGGGTCGTTTAAGAATGGATTGTTTGGGTAAAGGACTGGGTGTCGTTGTTGTTGTATGGTTTAACGCTATTTTTCAGCACAAGATAGGTTAAACATGGCGGCCAGAATAAATAAATGGGGGAAAACCCGGTAAAATCACGAAAAGAAAAACTGGCCCACGATAACACATATTGGCTGAGCAGGATACTCAAATCCATGGAGACAGGTAAGAGAGAGAGAGAGAGAGAGAGAGAGAGAGAGAGAGAGAGAGAGAGAGAGAGAGAGAGAGAGAGAGAGAGAGAGAGAGAGAGAGAGAGAGAGAGAGAGATATTTTGTAACGTAGCTTTAACAATTTTTCAGTCATGTCGTTACGATGTCTGCAGTGTGACAGTCTATAGTGATGTCTATCACTGGGGCATCATGCCGCAGACATGTAGCATGATGTCCTACCAAGTTACATTGTCCTGACACCAGGCCGACCAGTCCTAACACTAACCTCTGAGCGCCAAGCGAGGAAGCTGTTAGTACAATTTTTGTAATTCTTTGGTATGACTCGACCGGGGATTGAACCCACGACCTCCCGCATCCGAGGCGGACGCTCTAATCACAAGGTTACCGGAACGGTTGAGAGAGAGAGAGAGAGAGAGAGAGAGAGAGAGAGAGAGAGAGAGAGAGAGAGAGAGAGAGAGAGAGAGAGAGAGAGAGAGAGAGAGAGAGAGAGAGAGAGAGAGAGAGAGAGAGAGAGAGAGAGAGAGAGAGAGAGAGAGAGAGAGAGAGAGAGAGAGAGAGAGAGAGAGAGAGAGAGAGAGAGAGAGAGAGAGAGAGAGCGTTTGTGTGTGTGAAAAATAGGAAAGTATGTGTAGTTCAATATCGCCTGATAGGTTGTATCAGGAATATGACGAGTCTGTAGAAGGGGTGAGGTGAGTGGGGTTGACAACCTTTATTGCCAGTCCATTAACTATATCCCTAACGAATACAATTATTCGACAATACTATTACATTTAAAAGGGTGAAAATGATTTGATGCATACATTACAGGTTAAAATATCTATATTTATTGTTAGATGTGTTTTCATATGATATGTTGGTGCAGGAATAGAATTCCAAGAGAGAGTTTAAGACCTGAATTATGTAACTTTTTAGCATCCTTTTATTCTGTGAATTATTAAACAGTTTCCATTTTATTCAACCGCCTGATAATTATAAAAAAATTTCTTTAAAGTTATACTTTATTCCTTAACTTATAAACAAGTAAATCTTTCAATGTTGAATTAGTCAAATTAGCAGTGTACTTCCTCTGAAACATTTTGGCCCTGGATTTAATTATGGAAACGTTTTCGTTGTAGACACTCGAGGCCTTGAAGTCGTTTTGCTGTGGCCTTGAAAAAGTAGTCAAATATCAAAGGCTAGTGCTGTCTTCTGTCTTTCACCAACTAGACTGCCTTACGATAACAGACAAGACGTCAGCAGTACGAGGTGTAGGTTTTTCGAACCGTTGAAAAAAAATGACGTATTTAAATTAAATTAAAATAATTTTGCAGCATACCTCCTTCAAAACTGCCTAGAGGGCATCTTTATCAAATAATCACCTGTATTATTTAATATTTAATAATAGTTTGTAGGTCGCGTGAAGAAACATTTCTTATTGAAGCAAGGTGTTATTAAATTGAGGCATTATTTCTCAGTTGTAAAATGTGGTTGTTTGCGACACGTGGTAAGTTAAAGCAATGGAAGGAGAAAAGCACTCGAATAGTCAGATGGTGATATCACGGTGTCGTTAAGACATGTACAATCAATCAATCAATCAATCAATCAATCAATCAATCAATCAATCGGCACATTGATTCAAAAGAGCCTACTGGAACTTTATTTTCCTACTATTTTTTTTCGCCATTTTTGACTATTGCCTTGAAATGCGGTAGATTTATATTATAAAACACTACGATTCCCATCAAAATGGAAAATTTGAGTGATCAGTCATTTATATTAAAAATTGATTGACACCTTAAATGAGGAACATATTACATTGTTTTTTTAGAGTATACAAATATATGCATTTGAACAGGCATATTGCAATTGGCTGCAAAAATCACCGTGTTCTATCTTTCTAAACTAACCCTGGACAATATTTTTTTTAAGCTGTACATTCCTAAGCTACCATTTGTTTTAATTATCATTCATTGATCAACACTGCTGTCTAAAATTTGTTAGTTCAATTTTTAAAATGGAATTGTATTAAAATTAAATTGTGTTTAAAAACTCTTTTCTAAATTTAAATGTTTATTTTAAAATCTACTAAAATATGATTTATCAATGTTTTATCATTTAAACATTTTTTCCAATTGGAACAGATCTTTTACTACAGTTAGGTTTTTATTGCATTGAAAATGTCTTATAATTAAGAAACTTCTCAATCTCAACTGCACTTGATCCAAAACTGGTACCCTGGAAAACACAACAATCACAACATGTCTGACGTATGTCACATACCTTCTTTGCTGTGAAATTCAAAGCGACTTCGTTAGTGAAGTTGAGATAGGTGTGACAAATATAAAAGTGACTAAAATTGGCCATATATAAATTGGTCGGATAGGACTCGTTTCATTATTATTACCTGCAGGGTCGAGTCATAATTATCCGCGGTTCAATACCCACAAATTGTGTTCTCTTTCATTTTGAAGGCGATACAAGCGTTATATTTAGGTATATTTAAAAAAATTTGGCATAAAAGAACTCAGTTTACAATTATTACTTCCGGTTCAGTACCAATTAATATAGATCCAGACCATTTTAAATAATTTTTTTCCAGTCTCATTTGGTGGTGATACGAAAGTTAGATTTAGGGAATTTGGTATTGATTTAAAGGTAAAATTGTTTGTTTGTTTTTTTTAAATTACGAGTGCTGTGGTATGTTGTGATATTTTTTTATCTGAGTGTCTGAGACGCTTGCTTAGAGGCGTTGGACCAGAGTTCATTTAGAGCAGAAGTTTAGAATGGAAAACTCTGACTATTAAGCTGACAAGAGATTTATATGAATCGAACATTATTTAGTTATATCTGCATTCAAAGTGAAAAGGAAATAATCTGATTGAAATATAGAAAGATGGATGTAAATATTCATTCCATAAAGAGGTTCAGAGGTATAATCTAAAACAGACATTGCTGCAAAGTGAGTTAAACGTGACGCAAATAGAAATGCTTCTATGCTGCGACCTCCAAATCAATACATTTATTATCTAGATAAACAGTAACAAGACATTGCCATTGACTTTATCGTAGTGATAAAAAAATGTATAAATATCTTAACAGCTTATGTTTGGTTTCATTGCCATTTTTCAGCAACTGACAGGCTATACACTACAGAAGAACTCAAGGATAGGCCTGCGATGAACCACAGACCCACTGGAAGCTGCTGGCAAGCTTTCTGGCATACCAATAAAGGCCAAGCATAAACTCAAAACCATGCAAACAGGTGAGCCATTCGGGGACCCCTACACCTCGTGAACTAATAAAATCAGTGGATCAAAGAGCATTTATATCTTGTTATGCTAATTTTATAAAAGTTTCTAATGGATAATAGGGATGCAATAATCAGGAGAGTATAACAGAGTTAAATCTGGTCACTATCAACTAATTACAAAGTTTACACACACATGAGTACGTACGTACGTACGTAAGTACGTATGTATGTATGTATGTATGTATGTATGTATGTATGTATGTATGTATGTATGTATGTATGTATGTATGTATGTATGTATGTATGTATGTATGTATGTATGTATGTATGTATGTATGTATGTATGTATGCATGTATGTATGCAAATAATACTATCGTACAGGTTAGAGAATTTTTAATTCGTACTATATGGAGATTCGATTCAGGTCTGCGGGTAAACAACACCTATCGTCTTGCCTGCACGCACCAGCCCATATTTCTTCCTAACTAAGCACGCATCACCAAATAGGAATGATGTGACTGAATCCGTGTTATGTGCATATATTAAGTAGCTTTTCCCAGATGATCACCATTATATTATTTTTTTTATTTCAATGCAATCAATAGAAATCATTCAAATAAAATTCCAAATAAAACTACAAAAAAAAACCCAAAGAGAAAGAAAACAAACAAGATAAAACCGACCAACCAAACAAACACTCCCCAAAAATAAACCGAAAAAAAAAAAGAAAATTGGCAATTAGACTAGTCTCATGCATCAGAAACTTCCTTCAGGGGGAGGACTCAATAAGTTATTATTTTTAAAATACACACCCTATGCCGATAAAACCAGATTGCATACAATATTCGGCAGAGCTGCCATGAGATGCACATGACTGGACTAGTGTAAAACCAAAGTCTTCTATTTTGTAATGAATACAAGTTGAATAACTTATCAAATAATAGAGATTTTCATAATATAAAAAAATTCTGAACAGAAAATGTTATTTTGCAGCAAATTTAATAAGTTGTGGAATAATAACAAAACCACAAATATATATATATATATTTTTATCATCGTTTGATTTACCAGTCTTTCTGATAGCGTTATCTAAATCAAACGAAGTAACAGAGCTGGATATCTTTTAGAGCAATTTTGTAATATTTCTACCATTTATTTTTATTTTCATGACCAGGTTTCATCTAGAGCCAAGCATGTATATGGCGACATATGTCCGTTATGGTGACAAGATACATAATTGCTGGCCGCAAAAAGAATGAATTTAGATTTGTCTTCAGCAGTTTTGGTTGACATGAAACTTTCAGGGTGTAACAAAAAAAAACTACTTTGGTCAGTTCATGAGATACTTGTTTGTTTACAACTTTGAACGAGTTAAACTTAAGTCAGCGGTAGCTGACCTAAAAAATAACACTAAGTTCATTTATCGATTTTATTTTCATTGGTGCATATTTACAGATTCTTTTAACTAAAGTCATCAATAAAGCAAACATCATCAGCCCTGAAAGAACGCTACCCTGTTTGAATGATTCGGCCAAAATGTCCCATTGTAATCTTTATTTTTTTTTCAAATATCATAACTAATAAATTTTGAAGTGTAGCTAACATGATTGGTTTATGGTCTGTACGTACACAACTGAGCCTTAGTGTAATATAGTTTTATTTCGCTAACAGATTTGTGCAATAACAGGGTTAGACTAAAGATTAAACAGTAATAACACACGGGTAAGGTGCTGTACGTTTCGGTGGAGATGTACTTCGAATTGAGAGTATAATGGGTATTCTATTACTTTAGGACTGCAAAGGTAATGTTTTTCTACACATCAAATTAAAATATTAAAATTATAAATATAAAACTAGCTATCCTGTGCTAATATATTGAGCCTCTACTTGAATGTTTCTTTATGTTCACATGTAATTTTATGGTTTTATGGTGATTTTGTTCTTTCTGTTCTTCTTATTTCCTTTATTGTAGCACAAACTTAACATCTTTTCTTTGTTGTACAAATTGCCTTTCTGATATTTTAATTTAGTTTTTCAATTTCCTGTATCAGTTTTCTATTTCCAATGACTAGAAACAGTTTGAAACAAAAGATTGCGCTTCGCACACTTGCATTCTGCGTTTATGTAATCTGTTTAAATTACTTTTAAGTGCGAAATTAAA